AAGAAAGATGCCCAATTCTTTTTTTTTTTTTTTTTTTTTTTTGAAAGAATTTTAAATTTATTCAACCAAAAAAACCAGTTTTACAGCAAGTGCAACATTGATCAAAGAGCACAAAGCTACAATATTACAACTCAAACAAAATCAGAACAGAAATTCAAAACATCAATCACCCCTCCCCCTCATGCTTAACCATATGGAACAAGTCAAGCAATGGAAGGGTTATAGGATAATCCTCATTAAAACCATATTAAAGAAAACCCAAATGGGACAAAACTCTAATAATGAAAGAGTAATTATCCTATAACCAGGGGAAAGGAAATGATGCAAAATCAGAAGCCAAGAATACCAGAAGGAAACCAGCAGCACAAATCCCGAAAAAACACGAGAAATCAAGCCAACCACCCAAACCACGATGACCCTCAACACACCAACACACAGCTTCAGATAGTCCAATTCACAATCACTTGAAGATTTTATTTAAGGGTAAGATGATATGCAACGTGATCACTGACCTCTCTAGTATCCTCTTCACTCTCTCTCTCTCTTTCACTTTCGCTCGTTTAATGAACTAGCTCTGTATCTCCTATGAACCCTATTCTCTGCTCAAACCTGAATTTCTCTTGGCTTCTACCTCTTCTCCTAGCGATCGTGACCCTCTAAGGAAAAATTGAATACGTAAGCTACTTGGTTGGGGGTATACACTATTAAAACACCATAACCTCTCTCAAACCAACACACACCAAACTCATTCCTTGCATCTTAGATCTTTCCATTCATCTTTGAGAATGTCGTCTGCTTCCCAAGCTGCCAAAGCTGCCAAGCTAATTGCTGATAGGTTAGCTATTATGCGAGAGGTGAGAAGTACCAACATTAGGAAGTTCAAAGCCACCGTTGACCAAATGATTCACGCCAATGAGTTTGCCCGTGGGGAGTGTATCGTCTCCACCATTGCAAAGGGAGTTGCAAGATCCTTTGGCCTGTCACCAAATGTTGTGGAGATAGTTCCCATGCATAATAACTGGGCATCAGCAGAATTCATGCACACCGTCTTCACACCAATGCCACCACCACAAGCAAAAGGAGAGAAGATACAACCTCCTGTCAAAACCGTGACAGTTTTCAAGGTGATCAAAGCAAGTGGCAAGATAAAATTAAGCGTGAGTATCTTCCCACTTCAGAGATTGAAACCAACTTGGAAGGTGAAGTGTTAATCAAGGAATACCAACGTCCCTCTCCCCAAACCGACGACGAGTAAGGCACGACAACACCATCTATCTTATCATCTAAAGCTTTTAATTTATCTATGCTTCCGTGTAATTCCAATCTTTCTCCACTTAGCTTTATTTGATCTCTCTAGTTTTTAATTCCTTGTGTATTTGTTTCTTTGAAATGAATACATAAATCTATCTTAAGTTGTTAGTGCTAATTATCTATTATCTATTATTATAATTAATATTGTTATTAAGTGCATGACTTTCAATATCAAAATGACAAAGAACAAGAAAAGAACGGATAATGAATGATATCACCAAAAACAAGATACCTTTAAACTTTGATTCAATGGCCAAAAGTTTACGAAGTTGTTATGGTGTGGTGAATAGGTGTCTGTAAATCCCAGAAAATCAGTAGACTAATTCCCAGAACTAGTTTAAGGCGCTCAAATCCAAGAAAATCACTTTGTTCAAACTCAGAGACTACATTATCCATCTTATATATTTTTGTTTTGGGATCCCACTTGACTTATATTTTTGTTTTGGGATCCCACTTGACTCGAGAGAGAGAGAGAGAGAGAGAGAGAGAGAGAGAGAGAGAGAGAGAGAGAGAGAGAGAGAGAGAGAAATTTGTGAACGATCGCATGTACATTTACATGAAAGCAGAGATCAAACAAAGTCCTAATTTCTCCAGTGCGAGATAAAAAGCATCTTGTAATACACTAGTAACTGTTAATCATTAATAAACAGAGTTAAGTTCCTTCAACTGCAAGTTTCCATATCAACCATGCCTCTGCTAGAGTCAATCTTAGAAAATATTTTTCGAAACTTTTTGTTTAGAGCATGTCGTTATATGTAATTCAGATGATAAGTATTAAGGAAAAGCCCAAAGAGCAGAAGAAGGCCCAACTGGTAGAGGCCCAAGCTTTGTCTTCGTGTGTTTCAACGTTTAACGGTAACAAGATGGAGAAGGGAAATACAGCTGGTCGTAGTACGGTAAAGCAAGAGAATCTTATCCAGCTACACAACAGATTTGGAGCTCTTGGATCTCGTGCAGAGACGTGTCACTAATGATTGGATGAGCTCGGAATTCTAGGGCTTTTCCTCTTTAGTATATAAGCTTGTCTTCCTCCTCTGTAAAACGTTAAGTCGAAAACATTAATAAAAGTTTCTTCTTCTTCATCTTATATCAAAAGAATTACATGGTATCAGAGCTCCGGTCGATTCATGGCTGACGACTCTGACATTGTTAAGGATTCTACTCTCACCATAAATCAGTGTGTTACGTTTAAGTGAAGTTCCACTAATTACCTCCTGTGGAAGCTTCAGATCGAGACATGGCTCAACAGTCAGGCACTTATGGGACATGTGAATGGAAGCACTCCACGTCCTCCGACCACCATTCAGATCCGCACCAACGATGAGGTCACCGAAGCTCCTAACCCGGAACTCATCAAGTGGATGCGTAATGACCAGAAGATTATGGCGTGGTTTTTTCGGTACACTCACAGAGGAAGCTCTCAGATCTGTTTATGGTCTTCAAACAACGCAAGAGGTCTGGCTTTCCCTTGCTAAGAAGTACAACCGTATCTCAGCTTTTCGTAAGTGTGACCTTCAACGTCGCCTGCAGTCTGCGTCAAAACAAGGTAAAACTCTCTCCGAGTATCTGAGTTCGGTCAAGCTCATTTGTGATCAGTTAGACTCGATAGGATGTCCGGTTCCTGAGAATGAGAAGATCTATGGAGTACTGAACGGTTTAGGACAAGAATATGAGTCTATTACTGCTGTGATTGAGAATGCTATGGATGCCCAAACTTGCCTTACTCTGGATGACGTGGAGATCCAGTTAATTAACTTTGATGAGAAGATTCAGACCTATGCTGCAAACACCTCTGTTTCTCCACATCAAGCCTTCGCTGCAGGAAGAGGTTACAGTAATAGAGGCAGAGGAAGGTATGGTTCTTCTCGTGGCCGTGGGTCATACTCAACCAGAGGAAGGGGTTTCCATCAACAGATCAATAATGGCTCCTCGGACAACAACACTCGACCTACATGCCAAATCTGCAACAAGTATGGTCATCCTGCTTACAAGTGCTACAAACGCTTCGATCATGCTTACCAAGCAGAGGACTACAACAACGCTCTTGCTGCAATAAGGATCTCAGACAACAGTCCACAGTCTGGAAGTGAGTGGTACGCAGATTCAGGAGCTACAGCACACATCACCAACTCCTCTTCTCAGCTGCAATCTGCTCAAGCATACCATGGTGATGACTCTGTCATCGTTGGTAATGGTGAGTTTCTTCCTATCACCCATATAGGTTCAGCTGTTTTGTCTAGTGACCAAGGTAATATACCGTTTCTAGATGTGCTTGTGTGTCCTGGTATTACTAAGTCTTTATTGTCTGTTTCTAAACTCACGGCTGATTATCCGTGTGCTGTTGAGTTTGATTCTGATGGTGTGATTGTGAAGGACAAGCGGACACAACAGCTCCTAACCAGAGGAAGCAGACATAAAGACCTTTACATGTTAGAGAACTCGAAGTTTCTTGTTTACTACTCAACTAGGCAACAAGTTACAAGTGATGAGGTGTGGCATATGCGGCTTGGTCATCCTCACAAAGCGATTCTCCAACAACTCTCTGCGAGTAAAGCCATTATCATCAATATGTCTGGTTCTTCAACGTCTTGTGATGCTTGTAGGCTGCGCAAATCTACTAGACTTCCCTTTGTTTCTTCTGAGTTTGTTTCAAATAAGTGTCTTGAACAAATACACTGTGATTTGTGGGGACCTTCTCCTGTTGTTTCTCCTCAGGGTTTTCGGTGTTATGTGATATTTGTTGACAATTTCTCAAGATACACATGGTTTTATCCCTTGAAGCTTAAGTCTGATTTCCTTTCTATCTTTCTTGGCTTCCAAAAATTTGTTGGACACAGTTTGACAGTAAGATTCAAAGCTTTTAGTGAGATGGGGGTGGTGAGTTTACAAGTAAAGCGTTTGTGAGTCATCCTGCTGGCTGTGGTATCCGTCAGTTGCTGTCTTGTCCACACACACCTCAACAAAATGGTCTTGCAGAGCGTAAGCACAGAAGCATCACTGAGCTTGGTCTAACGCTTATGTTTTAAAGCAAAGTCCGTCAGTCCTTTTGGGTTGAGGCTTTCTTCACAGCAAGCTACCTCATCAACCTTTTACCCTCATCCGTCTTGAAAGACAACAACAGCCCTTATGAGAATTTGATGCAGAGACCTCCCTTATATACTGCTCTTCGTGTCTTCGGTTGTAAATTCTTTCCCCATCTCAAGCCTTATGCAACAAACAAACTTGATCCCAAGTCTCTCGTGTGTGTTTTCTAGGGGTACAATGACATATACAAGGGCTATAGGTGTTATCATCCTCCCACAAAGACAGTTTACATATCAAGGCACGTTCTGTTTGAGGAAGAAAGCTTTCCTTTTGAAGAGATATACAAAAGAGCAGAAGAAGGCCCAACTGGTAGAGGCCCAAGCTTTGAGTCAAGCTTTGTCTTCTTGTGTTTCAACGTTCAACGGTAACAAGATGGAGAAGGGAAATACAGCTGGTCGTAGTACGGTAAAGCAAGAGAATCTTATCCAGCTACACAACAGATTCGGAGCTCTTGGATCTCGTGCAGAGACGTGTCACTAATGATTGGATGAGCTCAGCATTCTAGGGATTTTCCTCTTTAGTATATAAGCTTGTCTTCCTCCTCTGTAAAACGTTAAGTCGAAAACATTAATAAAAGTTTCTTCTTCTTCATCTTATATCAAAAGAATTACAATTAGTACCTCTAGTCCCCATGAGCGTGAAATATGTTAGTTAGTCCCACACAATCTCTAACTACAAAGATACTCCAGTATGTCATTCAATTATCACGTTACTTGGCATCTACGTTTTGTTCAGTTTTGGCCAAGACATGGACTACCAAAGGAACATGTAACCTGTAATGTGTCTAACATATCCATATGTGTTGTTACCAAACTAAATTAAATAGACATAATGGCTTCAGCTACTACCAAGAATGAAAATGCTGACGAATGCAGCACAAACCATTTCTTGTTGGACTCACTCACTAACGAGCCAACCGGTACGTGAACCTCAAGGCTGAAAGAAAGAACAAGTGAAATATCAAGAGAGCCGTAAGGGGAGATTCTTAGAGAAGGACCAAATCCTCCTCCAAGTGAGGCTGGCTGATATCACTTAAATTACCCTAAGGAGTGAATTACTCTCATCAAAAGAGGTTCATCGTAGTACTTAGGGATCGAATCCACAAGGAACTAGAGACACAAAAGATATAATCCTAAGTGATTAAGCTCGGTTGAAAAAGGTTTAAAACAGTAAATAAAATAAGTAGCAATGGTAAGTTGCTAAAGAGAATAGGTTTTGGTTTTGAAAACAATGAAGGAAAATAATTAGATTCAAGGTTACTATTCAGAAAATCAGGATTATAGATCTATGGATGTCTTAACGAATTGCTTGCAAATATATGAGAACTTCAATCCTTAGACAAATCTATAGCTGTCGCTAGTTAGACTCGTCCATTGATCTGATTGCCGACTGCATCGGTCGATGTTGCTATCGCAGTGTCGATCGATATAAGCTGTCGTCGATCGATACCCCTAGAAGAGCATCGATCGATATTAAGTATCAGATCGGATCGAACTATTGTTCACCCGAGAATTTCTATAAGACCGGCTATCGCATCGTGCCTTAATAGAGTCTGGGTTTAGCCAAATGATTTCAGGAAGATGACTATTAGATTAATCACTCCATAATCAATACTCTAGGTAGCAAGTCTAGAGTAAGCATTAGGGTTCATTTGGATAATGAATATAACAACTCAACAATCCATAGTTGGGGCTAATCCCTCATAACTATTTGAACCCCAAATCTAACATATGAATCTACTCAGACATAGCCAAGAGATTCATAGCAAAAGAATAAGAAAAGAACATGCTTTTATTGCTAAATAGAATAGAATAGAATACAAAACTTGGTTCAAAACTTCTTATCTCTAAAGGCTCATAGGCATAGGTATAAATAGGGAGTATAATTAGGTTAAAAACTCGTCAGGGGCAGTCTTGTAATTTGGTGAGAACTTGGGCTTCAAGTTGGCCAAATAAATCTTGCTCATCACGCTCTGTATCGATCGATGGTACATTGCGTACATCGATCGATGGGGGATCTCGACTTCAACTTCTACGGAAGCGTCATCGATCGATTACACAGGGTGTGTATCGATCGATATGTATCTCTTATATCGGATCTTCATAGTCATCTTGAAAAACTCTTCTTTAAGCACCAAAAGGCACCTAAATCATCACTTTACCACAAAATTCTCCTGAACCTGAAAACATACCTAATAGACACCAAAACATAGATAATTATAAAAAAACATATAGAAAATATGACCAAAAGCGGGTCAAAATCATGGTCTATCAACTCCCCCAGACTTAACCTTTTGCTTGTCCTCAAGCAAACATCATGTTAGTCTTGAAAAGAAGTTTAAAAACAGCAGGGACTCAATCAAAATCTTAACTTAAAAATTATAACCTCTTACTTTGTTGCAAACCACATCTTATTCCATCAACTACATGAGTATATTATACCATATCCTAGCTTAGAAACTTAATCATCTAGCAAATAAACTTAAACATTCCTTGTCTTTCTATCCCCTCTACTGATTTCATTTATGCATAAAAATAAAGGTGTAGGCTTTACCTTGGGAGTATCGATCAAGGAACACTTGGATTCAACTCAAACAAGTTTTCAGGCATTCTCATCCTGGTTCCCTTTCTTTCTATATCCCCCTTCTCTGAATCTCAACTCTTCTTTCTTTAATATCAATCCCAATGAACGGTTAATGTTCATCTTATTGATCTTTCTCAATTTGTAAGCGAATAGTGGGGTCATAGGTAATGTACTTCTCCCTCGTTGTGATCATTCCTTTGATTTAGAATAGTGGGGTCATAGGTAATGTACCTCTCCCTCTGCCTCTCAGGAAATCATCTCAATCTTTTATTTTCTGGGGATGCCGAACGAAGGAAAGAAGGAA